CCTTGTGTTTGTCATTTTGGAATTACTGGAAGATGGCAGTTCTGGCCAAAAGGCTACCAGCTCTACTTTAGGAGAGGACCCAGATCTCAGTTTTAAGAAATTTTATCTTGGGACCAGCAGTTAGCGTAATGGCTATGTCGCTGGACTCCCACGTAGTCGACCGCAGTTCGCGTCCCAGACCTGGTGGCTTAAAACTCACGCCGGGCATGTGTGCGTGCATGCCCAAGATCCCGAGAGGAGAATGGAGGAGGAGGGACTGCGGCATGGCCATCCCCCCTGGGGGGTGATTTCTTGCTTTCTGTCTCTCTGTCTCTCTCTGTCTGTCTGGCGAGCGCACGCACCCTATAGCGAAAAACCTCTCCAAAAACAAAAAAGAAAAGGTATCTTGGGACCAGCAGTTAGCGTAATGGCTATGTAGCTGGACTCCCATGTAGTTAACCACAGTTCGTGTCCTGGACCCAGTGACTTAAAACTCACGCCGGGCATGTGTGCGTGCATGCCCAAGATCCCGAGAGGAGAATGGAGGAGGAGGGACTGCGGCATGGCCATCCCCCCTGGGGGGTGATTTCTTGCTTTCTGTCTCTCTGTCTCTCTCTGTCTGTCTGGTGAGCACACATGCCCTATAGCAAAAACCTCTCCAAAAAAAAAAAGAAAAAGAAAAGGTATCTTGGGGGCCAGCAGGTGGCGTGGTGGTTAAGGGCACTAGACATGACTGACAGTGGTTCGAGTACTGTACCTGGTGGCTTGCTTTCTCATTTTCTCTCCCTCTCACTTCCTCCCTTTCTCTCTGGTCAAATTAAAATAAGTTAATAAATAAATAAAGCTAAATAAATAATTCTTTAAAAAAAAAAAAAAGGAGCAAGTATCTTATCCAGGCAGTCTGACCCCAGAGCCATGCTGTCTATCCTGCTCTACTGACAAGAGGTACATGACATGAGCAGAGCCCTCCACACGTGTGGGTGGCATGCTAGGTGCTGCATGTACACCCTTGCCTAATCATCTGTAATTAATCAGGAAATGCAACATGAAATGTCAAGAAAGCTGCTTGAGCCCTGGTAATTCCCTATAAGCCCACAGTTAATCCCTTACAAATTAAGACTCTCCAAACATTGCGAAAATTGTGTGAGCTTAAAGAAGAGACATTTTAGACTAAATGCTGAAATAGATTTGCAACACAAATTAAGTAAAGCAATCATTTTCCTTAGGAAATACTATCTATACTTGAGACTCAGTACCTGTCTGCTCAGGCTCACTCTTGTCTTCATCTTCAATATCAAATTCCGATTCTCTCTCCTCATATTCCACATTTTCATCCAACTCCTTGAAATCCGGTGCAAATGCACTCCAATTTTCCTATGCCGTGAACAAAGTACACCATTTAGCCATGTGTAAAAGCAATAACCTGTAATCTAGATGTTAATGATATAAATGAAAGATCTGAACATAAAAAAGACTCAGAATTCTGAGATTAAATATGGAAGACCAAAATAAAAATTAGGGGGGACCAGCAGAGGATATAATGGTTACATCACTGGATTCACACCCAGTCTACTGTAGTTCAAGTCCCAGACCAGTGGCTTAAAACTCTTGTTGGGTGCCTGTGTGTGCATGCCCAAAATCCCAAGAGGAGCAAAAGGGGTTGTGGCATGGCCATACCCCCAGGTAGTGATTTCTCATTTTCTGTCTCTCTGTTTATCTCTGTCTCTCCAGAGAGCACACCTGCCCTATAGCAAAAATCTCTTAAAAATAATAAATGAATAAATTAAATATTAGGAATCTAGAGGCTGGCAGGTGGCATGGTGGTTAAGGGCACTGGACTCCCACGTGGCCAACCACAGTTCAAGTCCTGGACCTGGTGGCTTGCTTTTTCACTTTCCATCCTCTCTCTCACTTTCCAACTCTCTCTCTCACTCTGTCCCTCTCTGGTCAATTAAAATAAACAAAATAAGCTAAATAAAATAATTCTTTAAAAAATTAGGAATCTATACGTTTTATTATCTTAATGCATTTCTTATTGTAAACAAACATTGCAAGTTACTACCTGTAACTCTTCCATAAATGCCATCTTTAATCTCTTTAAAATTAATTGTAGTGTAAAATGAAACCGAGATGTAAGATAGAAACTATCTCACTTGAAAAATAAGAAAATCAAAAGAAAAGTATAGCTCAAGAAAGCAACAAAGTACATTAGACTTCTTCCCTGAAAAGAGCTAGTAAGATAGCTTAGGATCAACACCTTCCCAGCAAAATAAACTGAAACTAGATACACTTAACGTATTTTATTGGGCTACAAGAATGATATGCAAGAAGTCAGCAGGTGCTGCGGTGGTTAAGGCACTGGATCCCACGTGGCCACCCATGATCTGATTCCCAGGTAAGGTGGCTTGAAAAATCACACCAGGTGTGTGTGCAGGTGTGCCCAAACCCTGAGAGGAGAATGAGTAGAAGGCACTGTGGTGTGGCCATCCCCCCGGGAGTGATTTCTTACTTTCTCTCTGTGTCTCTCTCTGGCAAGAGTACACACACTATGGCAAAAGCCTAAACAAAGAATTGTATGAAAGTCAAGTTTCAATGTCAATAAAGTGTTTTTTAAAAGAATGATATGCAAAACCAAATGAATAAGGTAATGTTTAAGTTATTATGTGTAAGATTCTTTGATAAAAAGGAGGTACACCCTGTTTCAAAGCAAGTGAATCAGAAAAATACTTACTACTTGGTTTTGGGCCCAGATAGATACCACTCCACTAGAAATGGATGCTATGATGGGTCGAACAGGATGCCACTGCATTTTCATGAAGGAAAGGAAACAGGAGTAAGAACAGGTCCAAGATTTTCTGGATTACCGGAGTATAAGGACAGCATCCCACTCTACTCACTGCCACGTCCAGGAGGAGCTCTCCTCTCGTCCCGTGGAGGATCTTCACCAGGTTGCCAATACTCTTCTCCCAGATGTACAGGGCGTGCTGCCGGGCGGAACCCGCCACTATGTATTCTCCATCTCCAGAGAAACAGCATTTCTTCCATGGGGTCCTACAGGACAGACAAAGTACCCCAGGAGAACTGGCACCTGAGCCTAGGTCACAGATTATCACATATTCTTCTCGGCTGTGACACCCACCTGTTCACCAAATCCTGCAATTTCTGCATAGGTTCAGGCTCTCCATCTCTCCCACAGGTTAAGATTTCTCTGCCATCGTAAACTCTGATTATTCGATCTGCTGTGTTAATCAAAAAGCAACTACCAGAAAGATAAAAAAATATCAACAAAAAGGTCAGAAATAAAATTCTGTTCCCATTAACAGTTTTGTTTGTTTGTTTGTTTGTTTTTTAAAGCAAGGTCTATGGGGCCAGTAGGTGGCATAGTGGTTAAGGGCACTGGATTCCCGCATGGCTGGCTGTAGTTCAGGTCCCGGTCCTGGTGGCTTACTTTCTCACTTTCTCTCTCTCTCTCTCTCTATCCCTCTCTGGTCAAATTGAAATAAATAAATAAATGGATAAAGTTAAATAAAATAATTCTAAAACAAACAAATAAACAAAGTCTTATTATGATGCAATCCCTCTGCCTCCGTCTCCCAAGCAGCTGGGACCACAGACACGCACCACCATACCCAGTTCTGTCAGACAGTCTGTCACTATGCTGTCCACACTGGCTTCAGCCTCCCAAATAAACAGGACTACAGGTGCGTGACACATTGTCCAGCTTTTAGGACGGGCTGGAAATTGAACCCAGACTCCCATGTAGCCTCAGTCTGCCAGCATCAGCAGCAACCAGCACATACTGCCACAGCTGGCCCATTAACCAGTTAACTTCACACAGTATCACAGTTAATTTAAAACAGCATTGCAAAGCAACTAACAAACTGGAAAGAAAGTGAGTAAAAAGGTAGAACACTTAGGGACCAGCAGTTAGCATAATGGCTATGTTGCTGGACTCTCATGTAGTCAACTGCGGTTCGCGTCCCAGACCCGGTGGCTTAAAACTCACACCAGGCGCGTGTGTGTGCGTGCCCAAGATCCCAAGAGGAGAATGGAGGAGAAGGGATTGTGGCGTGGTCATCCCCCCCTGGGGAGTGATTTCTCGCTTATTGTCTCTCTGTCTCTCTTTGTCTGTCTGGCGAGCGCACGCGTCCTATAGCAAAAAAACCTCTCCAAAAAAAAAGAAAAAGGTAGAGCACTTAACAGATCTATTTATTGCCTTCTAAAATCAAAATATAATTTAGGTGAGAATATATTTTCTACTTCCTGTGTATCCCTGAACCCAACATGTACATATATATTTTGTTTTTAAGAATTATTTTATTTAACTTTATTTATTTATTTATTTTCATTTGACCAGAGAAGGACAGAGTAAGAGAGACAGAGATAGAGAAAGAGAAAGGGAAAGTGAGAAAGCAAGCTGCTAGGTCCAGGACTCAAACCACAGTCAGCCATTTGGGAGTCCAGTGCTCTTAACTACCATGCCACCTGCCGGCCCCCATTCTGTTAGTATTTAACTGAGTTCAAGACTTCCCAACTGAAATGATGTTGCTAAGTTCACAGTCTTAGAGTTAAATATATATCACTTCCCTTCTAGACTGTTTCAGACTTCACTGACTGAAACCATTTTTGAATTCTTGAGATTTTTTGGGGGTGGTGAGAGGTTTTTGCTTTAGGGCGTGTGCGCTCACCAGACAGACAGAAAGAGACAGAGAGACAGAAAGCAAGAAATCATTCCCCTAGGGGGGATGGCCACGCCGCAATTCCTTGGGATCTTGGGCATGCACGCACATGTGCCCGACGTGAGTTTAAGCCACTAGGTCTGGGACACGAACCACAGTTGACTACATGGGAGTCGAGCAACACAGCCATTACACTAACTGCTGGTCCCAATTCTTGAGAATTTTGAACATGAATGTTTTCCAAATATGTATGGGTGTCTCTACACAAAATACTATATTACCTCTTACTATAATCTAAGTCCCTTTGTTTCTGTTAATATATGTACTTCTGGGGACAGCAGGTGGTGTGGTGGTTGGGATGTTGGGCTCCCACATGAGCGACTGCAGTTCAGGTCCTGGTAGTTTGCTTTCTCACTTTCTCCCTCTCTCTGGTCAAATTTTGAAAAATAATAAATAAAAATTAAATAAATAATTTCTTTAAAAAAGAAAATTAAAAATATATGTACTTCTAGTTCAGTAACTGAACATATCAGAATAACATCTGAAATTAAAAATTACATAATTTTGGGGCCAGCAGGTAGCGTGGTGGTTACAGTGCTAGACATGCACACATGGTTGACCATGGTTCGAGTCCCAGACCTGGTGGCTTGCTTTCTCCTTTTCCCTCTGGTCAAATTAAAATAAATGAATGAATAAATAAAATAAATAATTCTTTTTAAAAAAAAAAAAACACACACACATCATTTTTTTACTAAATGCCTGCTCAGGTACAATGTGAATTCTTTTTTAAAATTCATCAGAGGGTGCATGAACTTGTCACGCCCACAACCTCTTCTCCATTTCTCCCTTCCTTCTGGATTTTGGGCATGTACACACTCCTATCATGTTTTTTAAGCCAGGACTCAAACCACACAGTCAGCTATGTGAGATCCAGCCACTTTAACCACCACTGGCCCATAATGTAAATTTTTAAATTTACACATAATTGCAATATTTATAGATTACAATGTGGTATCTCAATGTACGTATGCAATGTGCAATGCGTACAGGGTATCCAGGGTAACCAGCAGACCCATCACTTCTGACACGTCATTTCTTTGCACTGAGAATATTCAAAATCTCTTCTAGCTATTTTGAAATATATTGTTAACTGTTGTCACCCTGCTATGCTGCAGACACAAGACTTTAGTCTCATCCTACTGTATTTTTCTAAAATGTGAATTTTATGACATCAGTTTTGATCCTAATATTGTACCTGATCTTTTTATTTAAGTGTGTTTCTTCCATAAGTGAGAAAGGCAAAGACAGAACCACCCTGACAGGGTCCCAATGCCATAATCCACCCCCTAGCCTCAGCCTGCCTGGACTGCAGGCATGTGTGCACCTGGGACACTCAAGGAGGTCTCCAGATGGGAACTGAGAACGTCCAGGTCAGCCATGCAGAGCATTTCACTTTACAACTAGATCACCATCTGGCCCCTACAGTGGCTCATCTTTACCCAGTGCTGACTATGTGCTAAGCACTGACTGCTTGGGTATCTTTCTGTAAAGGAACTGCCTGATCACCTCCAGATAAAGATGAGACTACTGGTTCAATGCAGGAAATGTTATGCATTCAAGAACCAGGTACAGTTCTAACAACTTTAATTTTTAAAAAAGTTTATTATACGTAAAAACTGCAAATCTCAATGTATTTTTGTATTCTATTAATTTTTAAAACTGTCCGTAAAGGGGCCAGCAGGTAGCTGAATCTTGCATGGTTGACCATGCACTTTGAGTCTCTGATCAGTGGCTTAAAAATCACACTCAGGTATGTGTGTGCATGCCCCAAAGCTCAAGAGGAGAATAGGGGAGAACAGATGGCATGTGACCATCCCCGAGGGTGATCTCTTACTTTCTCTGTCTCCCTTGGGCAAGTGTACATGCCCTATAGCAAACAACTAAAACACAAAACAGAATAAAAACTGTCCCTAAAGAAGCTGGCAGGCACTGGAATGGTGGTTAGGGACGCTGGACTCCCACATGGCCAACCATGATTCAATTCCCAGACCTGGTGGCTTGCTCCCCACCCCAGGCTCTGTCCCTCTCTGGCTGGTCAAACTAAAAGAAAGAAAGAAAAAGAGAAAAACAGATAGATAGATTCAAAAACAAAAAAACTGTCCCTAAAAAGACAAGGCCTTACCTCCCCTTCCGGGCAAATTCAATTGATTTAATGGCTGTGGTATTGCTTGTTCCAGTAGTTACTCTGAAGGAAGCAACAAGATCCTGAGAATCTGTTTTGAGGACCAAAATCTAAAGTTGAGGGGAGAGAAAAAAAAGAAGTATTCTGATAGCTACAGTAATTAGAATTGGCTTCTGCTTATACAACTGATCAGAGATTAAGTAAAAATACAAATGTCTATTCCCATGTTCTCAATCTAATTAACTATATACCTCTTCAAATAAAGGATTTTAATAATCTAGTCTTAAAATATGACCTTTAAAATTATTCACAACAGCCAAAAAGTATCCATCGACAGATGAATGGATAAACAAAACATGGTCTACACACGTAAGAGTGTTCAAGAAGTTTGTGGAGAGGGTCTCAGGAAGATATTCTGCACGGATTTCAAACATTTTTTGCACCAAAATAAACTGGTACCACTTCTCCACAAACTTTGTAAAGTACCCTTGTAGAATGGATTGTTGAGCCTTTTAGGAAATTCTGACAGGCTACAACACAGATGAACCTTGAAGACACTATACGAAGTGACACTAAGTCACCAAGAAGATAACTACATGGTCTCTGGAGGAGTCTAAATCCTAGAGAAAGTGGAATGGGGCTACCAGAGGCTGGGAGCGGGAAGGAACGGAAGGTACTATTTAATTGGTACAGGATGTCCATTCTGCGAGATGAAGAGAGCTCTGGAGATAAATGGTGTAACAGAC